GCCCGTGGATTAGGAGGTGGGGCCCTGGGCTCAGGGTGTTGCGGCCCACACTCCTCCACACTAAGGTTCGGCGATTGTACGACGGCCTCACCCAGAGCTTGGACGCCCTGGCTGTCTGGGCGGCCTTCTTCCTATTTCATCTTGCGATGCGGGCAATTGGTTCTGTTGTGTTTCTTAGAAGCACAAACCGTCCCATCAGACAAAATCACATCACAAATGTCCAACTTACCGCAGCTTCCATCACAGCCGCGGTTGTCGTTGTTGCGCTTGCAAATCGGCTGACCGTTGTAATGTGTGGCAGTACGAAGCTTCTTCTCTGGGGAGCCGGCGGACTGATTATTGTCCTCAAGGCCACGCTTCAGCTGCGGCGGGAGCGACCAACGAAGTTCATGCTCCCTCCATGCCTTGTTGAGTGCCTCGCCCTGAGCATAGCCCTGACGAACCAACTCAATCATGCGAGCACGTGTGTTCTCATCCCGGGACCTCACGAAATCAAGGAGAGCCGAGGGCGACATGTCAGCTAGAGCCGTGCAGCAAATGCGCAAGATGGTATCTGGGTAACGCATGTTGTCACTCAAGGGCGAGAAGATCACATCCTTGCCCGGGTCCTCCTTGGACTGAACCTTGTGTTGTCCGACAATTGCGTACCCGTACGCAAGAATCCTGAGGGCTTTATAATATTCAAGCACAGATCGCACCGGAATTTGCTCCTCTTGGTCAAGCTTGAGGCGCACCTGATCATTCAACTGGATTGTTTTGTCATGCTGAGGTTTGGAGGCCATGAACAAGCTTTTGATCTTGGTGACTGCAATCACCGTGGGAGTAAGCCGCTGAGCTTCACGGTACAATCTACCCAGGAGCGTATCAGCCGGCATATAATGGACGTCGATCTCGACCTGATATGTCTGCTGAAATTGCTGAAGCAGCGTTTCTTGGGTTGAGTGCTCAAGTGCGCATTCGAGCTCCTCAACCGTCTCTCCCTGTTGCTTCTTATGCTCGTTGCGCAGCAGAGTAGTGCGCGCAGCACGCCAAGCAGCCCGGGCCCTCGCCAAGTAGAGGGGATTGTCCTTGGTCTCGGGACACTGATCAATCAAGACGGCCTTGATCTCCGTCTCGTAGTCCTTGATGGTGACGATGTTGACGAAGTCGTCCAGAGACTCCATCTTGAGGGTCCCCAAACAATGCTCAACAAAGGCATCTGGGAGCTTGGCATCCACCAAACAGCGCCGCAGAGCGTCAGCTTTCATCTTGGCCATGGCTGAGCACCTCCCTCACGTTGAGTCTCAAAAGGACTGCACAGACACCAACTCGAAGCAACGCTCAGACTCGATTAGGCGGCTGACGCAGTGCGATACAGAAGTTGTTTCAAGAGCACTCACAACGGGAATGCCACCCTGTAGTGCACGAAATCAGCGACCTGCCCGCTCACAGGCGGTGCAGTTATGATGATTATGTCCTCGTTTATTGCGAGAACAGTAGCCTGTAAGACACGAGGTGCACGGAATGCCACATGGAATGTCCGAGCGCCTAACACGAGTGTCTACGCGCGTCTCAGGCGGAGCTGCACTCGGCTGGGCCGTCGGCTGCCACGTCGACGAACTCCACGACGACGATGTAGCCGTCCATGTGCCGCCTTGGTCACGCTCCACTTGGTCCAAGGCCTGGCGAAGGAGCTGCAACCACGCTGGTGGCAGCCGCGACAGGGCCTCCACAAGTGCATCGAGAGACGGAGGGCTGCCCTGAGTCTGCCCCATA